TTTATCACCATCATAATTATGGTGTCCTTTAAACTAGCTGATAGCAGGAAAGATAAGGAAATGTGCCTGTAGCTTCAGATCAGGTCTCCCTCCTTTCTTTTTTTTCCCTCCCTCCCCTCTCTCTCCACTACCCCTCATTCCTTTCTTGGTCACTGAGTCCCCCATGGCCCTTGAGATGAGGAAAACAGGAAAATTTGGCCTAACCATTTTTACATCATGAAAGTGATTTGTACCACACTCTCATTTGATGCAATCTGTAACTTTCTAGTCTCCTATGTTTATAACTGCTTTTTAGCTTGCAATATCTGCTATCTGAAGAGTTGCTCACCTGTATAAAATTTTGTCCATTAAGGTTTGTTGCTTCACCTTTGTCTAATTCAGAAAGCACACTCTTAGGGCTTTTTTGTGAACAAAGGCTCACAAAAAACCCTTTACCTCCAAGGATTTGCAAATTTATAAAGGCTGCATAGAATTCAAGATGAGTCAGGGGGCAAAAAAAGGGTAGGAGGTCATTGCATTTTGATTATGGGTCAGTAGACAACATGGCATATACTGTGTCCCAAACTTCTGTTAAAAACAGGATTTTTAAATGCCTAAGAACAGAAGGATGGGCCCTTTTGGAGATTTGCCATGATTTGTTTGGATGAGACAAAAAGAAAAAAAATAAGGAAAATATACTAAGTTATAATTTAAGTTGTTTTTTAATTTAGCCATTTCCTCCTCCTCTATTCTCAAGTTCTCCTCCCAAACAGCAAAGAACATGTGAGATTAGATAAATTTAGGTAAGAACTGTTGACTATCACACAAGCTTTTATTGTCTTATATCCTCAATTAATTTAACCATATGAAGCTTTGAATTATTATTATTTTAGTCTTTGTTATAAGTATTATAGTTACTTTTGGCTAACAGCACAAAAAGCTTCTTTTATTCTCCTAACTAGTATACGTACATTGTTGAGGCCTTTGTGATGTTCCTTGGTCTTTTCTGTCTGAATTCACTTTGAACAAAATGTGCCCAGCAATCTTTAAAACAAATGTATATGGTGAAGAGTTAGGCAGTGGGGATGGTGATGGGGGGGTGCGGTGATCCTCATTTAAATTACGTATGTATGGATGAAAGCTTGGAAGGAAAAGGATTATTTTAATGCTCTTCAGTACTTTGATTATAAGACAGTTGTAGTGTAGAAATACAAAAGTACTCTTAGGTTTTCCTTCAGATTTTCAAAAGAACTTTCCCCATTAGTAAACTATTTCTGCAAATTGCTATTGCATTTCCCAGCTAACCATTTTAAAGACTGTAAATGTCGTGTGCATTACTTTGCCCCAGAAGAAAGAGGTCAGACTGAATTGCAATGGTATTTAAACATGAAATATGGTAAAAATAAATCAAAATAGATAATCTAAAGGTAAATTTGGCACATTCACACAGGATAAGTAAAGACAAATATGTTCATATCTTCATAGCCCATCCCTTTAAAACCTGAAAGTGCTGATTTTTTTTTTACAATAAATGTAGATGTAAGTGAACATATAGAATGTATTTCTATCTGTATTTGTCACAGAGGGTTCTTTAGCAAGCAGCTTTGTTTTCAAAGCTAAAATACTTTTTATTATAGTATATAGATTATGCATTCCTCACAGAGTAAATAATCACATTTAACTTACAAACTCAAAGCCTTTCATTATATATACCTAAATTCTCAATAAGTAATTTCCTGGCCCCTCAGAGATGGATATGCACATAATGTTAATTTGGGCATATCCACCAACATATGTATATGAGTTTGAGAAACATAGAAGTTGATATATCTTTTCTTAAAAAAGAATTTGAATACAGTCCATCATCTGAATTGGGTTCATCTTTGATTGTAGAGGCGGCTGACATGGTCAACAAATTTATCAAAGAAATCCCCTGGCTTTTGAAGAATAGTACTTTATACATCTGGATCTGCACATCCAGGCAAAGTAAGTAAATTATTGCATAACTTTAAGCATAATTGATACCAGACACCTTTAATTTTTCATCCCCATTCTTTTGGCCAGCTTTCACATTAATAATCTAAGCCATAAATGTTGGTAGCTATTGATCGAACTCCCCTGTGTGCATGCAAATCCATCTTAAAGTCCCCTGCCTTTCATGTGTGAGCGCTCAGGGGCCTCTCCTAGATCTTTTTATGGGGATCGACCCCCAATGTGCCTGGAGAAGACCCCGGATATGCAACGTGGGCTGATGGCCACAAGAAAGCTGTCTGTCACATTCTCTGTGTATGTATGTGTGTGAATGGGCGTGCTCACGCCTTCACACATACACACACACACACACACACACACACACACACACACACAACGATGGGGGAAGTTAAAGGAACAAAAGAATGTATTAGACAAGAAGAAAGATGTGTAATCGGAGTATTAAAAATGTATAAGTGTAAAGGTGTCTGGGTGCGCATACGAAGATATTCCTATAAATTGAAGGTCTAGACAAATTCCCAAATCCCCCAGCCTTTATATTTCTCTTTTTGACCCACCTGATTATACCCTTAGTTTAAAAAAATACTTAATACTCTACTAGTTTTTAAAACCACCTATATTGTCAGTATTTTAAAGATTGAAAGAGAGAAAAGGAGAAGGAAAGAAGGTAATTTTGAAACGGTTACTAAATCATGTTGCCATATGCAGGAGGAATAGAAGTGTGTATGTGTGTCCGTGTGCGCGCACGCGCGCGCGGCCTAGTGCGCGCGCAGGCGCGCAAATCTAAATAGGAATCAAGAACAACTAGAACTACCTGCCCCCCCCCCCCCCCCCCCGAAAAAAAAAGAAAGAAAAGAAAAAAAGGCGTGGATGGGGGCAACGCTGTAGGCAACCTATTGTAATATCTTCTCAAAGGCTTTTTCTGAGTTTACTATTTCTTGGCTGTTTGACTGATCGAAATCTTAAGGCTGGGGGAGGGGAATTGGACGGGAGTTGGGTGGGAGGAAGAGGCTGGCAGTATATAAGTGCATCAGGAGGAATTTTAAAACATTGTTGCTAGCAATTGAAAGACTGTGGTTATTCTACCTTAAAAAACAAACATCAGCATCTGCTTTTCCTGGAAACTTTGCTTTCTGCTTAAACCTTGTGCATTTTCCCTCCTGTGAAAGTGAAAGAGAAAAACGCGGTGTGATGGATCCAGATGCAAAAGAAAGCCAACTCGGTGGATGGTATTAGCTGTGACGAGGCATTGTTCATTGCCGCCTGTGGGTTACGTTTAAAGCCTGAAATATCACGAGATCCATTCAATGATCCTTCTCTCATTCAAGGGACAAAAATGTAATTTGCTGTAGCTCTGATTTCTTGGATGGAAATGCTAGCCTTAGATTTCAAAGGCAAGAACTAGACATCGCGGTTTGTACACACATTGATTAAGTTGAAGAGCGGCGATTACATCTGTGCTGAGTGCAACAGTAGTCCAGGGCTGACTTTTCAAATCCCAACCTCTGAGTTACAGACTCTCTTAAATAGACTTCCTTAATTTCCGGATGCACTTCTTGAAATTCCCAATTCTCTTCAAAATTCCTGGGAAATTACAAGAGATCTAAGGGTGGGGGTGGGGCACTATGGCCGAGATTTCATGCAAACTACCTTTTTGTATAAGATTCCTCAGTTTTTATCTTTTTTCTATTTTAGAGCTATATCTGCTTTTGCTAGCCAGACCAGAGGAGTGAAAGCTGGAACTTTTGAACGTGAAGGAAGAAATTATTGTACAATTTTTTTCTTGCAAGCTCAGAAATATCCATTTATTCTTTTGACCTCGCGGATGTCTATTTTTGGAGGAACAAGGAAACAAATGCATGGGTTACATTTATGCTGTAGTTGCAAACACCTAAGGGTTAAGAAGATTTTGCCGAATTTTGCAAAGCAGCCAACAAACCGCCTTGGGATTGTGGTAACACAACTGGGAAGACCCTTGCTCTCATTTGGCAATATTTTGGATATCCTTGAAAATGACACCAAAATATGCCTTAATTTGAATAAGAAGAGGTTAAACAATATTGATATTCATCCAAAGTGATTTTTTTAAAAGCAGATGCTTGGCTTTCGTGGGGGGAAAATGAGAGTTGTGGAAGATTCATTTAAACTACCAAGTAAAAGCATCATAGATTACTGAAATGGTCTGCATTGTACATCAGCATTCTCTTTTCACCGTCATTACGTAAAACCTCTGGATGTACTTTGGGCGTTTTACGTTTTCTTTTCTTTGCTGCAGAAACAAGCTGCTCCCTACAATTCTGACCTGCGGTGAACAGGACCTAGGCAAAGGCTGTGCTGGGGACTCTGGATCCCGTCCCCAGTCCAGCCTGGTGAATTGTGAAAAGTGTACACATTTCTAGCTTATCTATGCTTTGTTATGGGTCTGACGTGAAACTACCTCCTCCCTACACCATCCCCCAGCAGAGAACCCAAATCCAGATGAATTGTTACAGTGTTTTGGAGCTGGAGCCCTGAACTGCTTCCTTGGTCAAATAACTTTGTTTCTGGTTGTAAAAAAGTATTGCAGGAGGAAAAAAAAAAAAAGAAAATCGAGCGAAATTCAAAACGTAAGTCCATACTGGGGCGATTCACCGCGTGGGTTTAACTTTGGAGCTCGTAGCCGGTCTCCTTCCCCATTCCCATAAGGGAAATACCAGGCTATTCTGCACATTTTCACTTACGCTCCATTTTCCAAAGGAAAAGGGGGGTGGGGTGTATCTATTTAAGCTTGATAATGTTTTTTAAATGCTTTTCTTTGAAATAATAGCTGTAGCGGTAAAATGCAAATAAAGCAAAAAATAGGCAATATTCCTTTAAAGGCGAATATACAGGTTTGTTTTTTTTAAGCGTACACACACTGGTTCAGATGAAGTCTGTGAGTCAGGCTGTTTCTGAGCTCCGATAGTTTAATGGAAAGATTTATATACCAACTGTATTATTTACTTTGGGAGGGGAGGTGGCAGTATAAGGGTATGCTAATTAGTGGGAGATTTTGGGGGGAAGGGGTGGAATATCAATTTTTATTGCATCACCTGTCAGGAGTGTCCAATCAGCGTTGGCTTTAGGGGAATTAATTGATGAAGGTGTCTCCGGACGAGCTCACTTCACTCTGTCATTTTATTTGTAGCTAAAGCAGCGACGGGAATAGCAGCTGCATTTCTTTTCTCTTTCTCCCTTCACATTCCATTATCAAAGTGCTCCAATGGAGAAGGAAGAAATAGAGGGGCCCAGGTACTGATCTGCATCTGGGACTTACACTAACACACTGGCAGATCAGAAGCCGGATGGTTTTTCCCCTCTTTTAAAAAAACGAAAACCAAAAAAACAAAAAGGCAAGAATCAAGTTAGTGTAATTTCACGTTTGTTGTTTTTTTTTTAATCGTTTTTTTTGTGTGTGTGTGTGTGTCCCCCCCCCCCATAATTTCGCCTAGAGTTTGGCACTCCCTTCGCCGGGAATAACAGTCTTTGTTATTTTATTAGCAGGATGCCTTGAGACACACGCAGCATCTGGTGGAGGATTAACATACATACATGTGTATGTATGCGTCACGTATATATTTGCTGCAAATGGTGGGGATCATTTAGTGCCCGAGATGGGAGACCTGAAGTCAGGTTTTGAAGAGGTGGATGGCGTGAGGCTCGGCTACCTCATCATTAAAGGAAAGCAAATGTTTGCCCTCTCCCAAGTCTTCACGGATCTGCTGAAAAACATCCCGAGGACGACCGTGCACAAGCGCATGGATCATCTCAAAGTGAAAAAGCACCACTGCGGTCTGGAGGAGCTGCGGAAACTCAAGGCCATCAACAGCATCGCCTTCCACGCCGCCAAATGCACGCTCATCTCCCGGGAAGACGTGGAAGCGCTCTACACCTCCTGCAAAACCGAGCGGGTCCTCAAGACCAAGCGCAGGAGGGCCGGCCGGGCCCTGGCCACAAAGGC